TGTTGCCATTATCATCGTCGTTCGTAATCTCTTGTACAATTTAATTGAAATGTTTTTCTTTGAATTGCATCGTGCTCAAAATGAAATCTAATTTATATCTTTGGCTACATGTACACAATTTACTATGTCTTCACATTGTTAAATGGAATAACGGCACAATCAAAAAGAAGTCACACTTTTTTTAAATAGTATTAGGAAAAAGGTACCTAAAATAATCCTATCCTGTGATTAACTTGATAAGTAACTTAGTAATACGTCGCTATATTTATTTCATCTCCCCAGAGAGCAATAGAATCAACATTTTGTTCAAACGATGGGTTTTGTGATATATCTTGAGTAACATTTAGACAAAATATAGATGCGAAGGAAGCGGACGTAAGAACTGCTGCCTTAACCTACTTCCAAATCATGCTACTTGTCATCTGAGGCATCGCGAATAGACAACACTTACATGATGCTTTTTTATGCTGCTTGAATCACACAGACCCAGAGTATTAGTCGGATTAGATAAACATCTCAAATTAGAATAGTTTCCGAACTTTATCGAAAACGCGGGAGAGGCAGTCGCTTTTATATGTATAGTTCGTAGCAGTTAGTAGATGACGGATTTGCAGTAGATGACAAGAATCTCCGAAGGATCCTTATACGTCGCGCTAGAATTCACGTTGCTAAGGCAAGACATTAAAAAGCATTTCCTTAGTTAAACGATGTGGGGTCCACTTGACTTCTCCCCATTTCGTAATACACTCAGAGACCAATTGACCCTATTACATTACAAAACCATTAAATAAGATCGTCTGCTACTTCTCAGTCATTACTAACTTTACTAGGTATGGGATATCGTTGCTTAATTTTTTTCAGCAGCGTTATCTCTATATGCTCATTGACTTTACTAGGAGGAGCCCTTCTGTATGGGCACTACGCTATCCGCCAATTCGCTCTCAAGAATTTGCGTGAATGCGAGGTATCCTGCTCCATTTCTAAAAACCAAAGCATCGAGATTTTTCCAACCCTTCAGATTAGGGTCCACTATTCGCCATTCGGCACAGCGCGGAATAGAACTGCTCGGAAACCGCGCTATTCTTCTTACAACGCTGCTGTTCCCAGGTCATATGACAGAGAGGCGGAAGACGGTTATCAGGTGAGTAAGATTCTTGCTTCCCCTTTACGGTCCCCCCTACCAGTATGAGAAATTTTACATATGATTTATGGGAAGCGAACTTCTTCTTCTATAATTACACTTCAAAATCAGATCAAATAAAAGAAAAATTCGCAAGAGTAGATACC